ATGTGCAAAGCCCTGGCTCTAAAGGAACTAACTTATCTGGTAAGGAGGCAAAACAAAGTACTGCTGTAAGAGTTTAGCAGAAGAAATCGCTTGTCACGAAGGAATCAGAGGAGACTGAAGAAGCTGGCATCTGAGTTGGGCTTTAATTTCACAAGATAAGCGGGTTTATGAAACGTAGGCGTTCCAGGCAGGGCATGCTAGGAGAAGGGCTGGTAGTCCCATTTGACTGCATTGAGGTGCCCAATATAGCTGGGTCATTTAAGTACAATAGGGAATGAAAGGAGACAATTAAAGGGGGTAGAGTAAGAATTCATCTACCTCTCTCCATCTCTACTGCTTATATCCTAGTCAAGATCATCGCTGTTCTTTGCCTCCTGCCCACGAGGGAAGACTCTATCTCCCAGTATCCCTTGAAGTCAGAATTGAGCCAATGTGAATGGGTTCTGGCCACAGCGGTATATGCTGAAATGTTTAGATCACTTCCAGTCCAGGTCATAAAACCCCTAAGCAAATATCCACACCCATTCTTTCTATGTATTAAAGACAGTAGTGTCAAAATATGGATGGAGGCTGGATGTTCAAGTTACCATTTGAGAGTTGCCTAGGAGAGTTGCCCAACTTAACTACACTGCTATATGACCAAAAAATAAACCTCTGTAATGTTAAGACATTAATTTTTTTATATTTCTTTCTTTCAAAGGCATAGCTCAGCCAATCTCAATACCTTCCTAAGTAGTCTCTAATGTTCCTCTGCCTCATTTGAAAGCACAAGACTGCAAAAATAATCATCTTAAAACATAAACTGGATCACAATGCTCCTGTGTGTTAGATTTCCAAGGCTTCCTGCTGCACTTAGAATAAAACTCAAAGTCCTCAACAAGGACTACAAGGCCCTGCATCATCTAGTCTCCGCCTTTCTTTCCAATCTCATTTCGAACCACTCTCTCCCCTTATTTACTATGTTTCGCCACTTGTCTTCTTTTCTTTCCTTTCTTAAATCAGAGCCTATGCACAAGTTCTTCCTTTTGCTTATAACATTCTTCCTCTTATTTTTGCTCTTCACATGGCTAATGCTGTCTCACTCTTTAGGACTTGGCTTAAATGGCAGCTTTAGAGAAAGACCTTCCCCAACCCGTTTTATGGGAGGCTCCCCCTTGTTAATGCTCTAGCTCAGCCTCTTATTTGTTTGCTTCACAAGCAGCCCATCTTTGCTCTCTGAAAAATTTAACGCCTATGTTATCAGAGTCAGGGGATCCTAAAACAGCTCTAAGTCCTCAAAAAGAGGGAAGCCTGCTGCATTTTGATGTAATCTCTGTTTAATTTTTCTATTCCTAAACCTGGAAAGCATAGTAACAAGATTAATGAAACTTCGTTGGCTTTGAATTTCCTCTCTATCATATTTTTAGCGATGTTGTGGCAGTATAAAGGCTGGCTTGATATACACATTTTAGTCTCAGGCTTACCAGTGGTGTGTATATTTATGGCTTTCATTTGTTTTCTCAACTTGCTAAAAAATGCTTAACATAATCTGAACACTCTAATAAAGATACTTTTTGCGTTCTTATGTCAGGATCGTGTGATCCTACTAATTAACAACAATAATTTCAGATAATTCTTCATATAATTTTTTATTCTTTCACTGCATTTTTCTTAACCAGTCATATTAGTATTTACTTTACAGTGCCTGTTGTGTTTGTAGCCACCTCTCCAAGGAAAGCAGATGGCAAACTGGAGGAAGAATCTGGGCCTTTTTAAATGAGTCATATATATATAGGTTCAGATACTACTTCTGGCACCACTAGTTTTCCCTGGCTTCATGTCTAAACTAAGCCTCTGTAAGACCAGGATAATAGTATCCAGGTATTACTGTGACATTGCTGTGTGCATTATTGTGACAATAATATATAAAGTCATCAAAGGCTCTTCTTTATCCAATCTGATGCTGCTATCCTAATTACCCATTAACTAGTGACAGTGTCACCTACAGGTAGAGTCCTGTGGTGAAATTTAAGGTTGATAAGCTCTTCCTAGGCACCTCTCAGAGGTTTTCCTTTCTCAAAACACTTTAAAAGGATTTATTTAAATTATAAGGTAGCTACATATTTTTATTACTATCTACATTTCTGAAAATGTTGGCCTAGCCCTTTTTTTTAAACCTTTAATTTGAAATACAGTTGACTCTTCAACATCTCAGGGGTTAAGAAGGGTGCTAGCCACTCAGTCAAAAATCCGTGTATAACTTAAGTGGGCCCTCCGCATATGTAAATTCCTAACCATTTATAAGTGGACGTTGGCAGTTCAAACCCTGTTGTTCAAGGGTCAGTTGTAATTAAATATTCATAGGAAACTGCAAAAATAGTATACAGAGAAGTCTCCTTCATTCAGTTTGCCCCAATGGTAATATCTTAAGTAACTAGAGTACAATATCAAAACCAGGAGAATGACAATGGTACTATCCACAGAACTTAATTTCACCAGTTTTACATGCAATTGTGTGTGCGTGTGTATGTGTGTGTGTGTGTGTGTGTGTGTGTGTGTGTGTGATCTAAGCAATTATATCACCTGAGGACATTCATGGCCCAGACTTTCTCAACTCTTATAGTTGCTATGCTCTTTTAGATTTTAATAATAAAAACGATTTCATAATAAGATATCTGCTTTAATCTTGGCTATAATTCTGATAACTTTATCTTTAGTTTAACAGAAAATAGTATCTATAATACATAGCATGTAATAGTATTTAGACTGATAAACATAACACTTTCCAAAAGCAAGTGTCAGCCTTTATTCTATTTGAGACATGCATAAAAGATTCTGGGTAGAGAACAAAACAGTTCTTTCTAGGTCTACACCTGCTGTCAAAGGGAGCAGGAGCAGTCTACTGGATAAGGTACTGGTCATGTGCAACTTGTTAAGATAATTTTTCTAGCAAGAAACTGATTTTTAAAGATTTATAAAACACAGATATTCAAAGTGAAAGTAGCTTTATAAAACAGTATCATTTAACACTTAGATTATAAAATATATTCACTGTGGTCATGACTCAGAATATATAAAGTTGAAGAAATATTATTTATCCTTTGATGTAGCTAGAGAATACTAGTATATATATATATTTTTTCTTTTTTTGCTTTTTGCTGGAGAAGGTTTGTGTTGTTGTTTTTAACTATTCTGGATGTCCAACAAGGAATTTAAAATTTTGAAAGAAGAGTAATTAAATTCAGTAACAAGTTCCAAACAGTAAAATTAACCATATGGACAACATTAGCTCACAAGAGCATTTATACTCAAAGTAGAGTAGTTTTTCTCAAAATGAAGACTGCACCAGGCCTCTGTGAGGGAAGCAAGAGACCAAAGCTACAAAGCTCAGCCCATTTTGGAACTTGATGTCACATTGATACTAGTCATCAGAACGCACAGTTACTTATACTAACATCTTTTTCCCAATTATTCTTCTCCTGTTCACCTGCCTCCTGCTCCAACAACTCATTGCTTATGAAAGATCAGAGAGCAAGAAAGAACCAGATTATTTATAGCATCTGTAAAACAAAAAAAAGTTACCCCTGTTCTCTCTCTTCCAAAAATAGGAAAATCACTATACTTTGTTTTGTTACCATGTGACAGAAACATAGAGTAGCTTCTGAGATAAAATCCAAATGAAAAACTTGAGAACAATAAGCTGCTAATTTAAACTAAATTAATTATATATCTAAGTTTCAAAGTTATATGGTAAATGTGATGGTCTTTAGATTGTAGACATAAGTGGAGAATGTGATCAAAAAGTTTGCTAAACTTTTATACTCTCAGACAAACTTTGTCAATAAAAAAATTATCAGCACCCAAGATGGGAAAGTTGGAACATTTCCCATCTCCTCCTGCATCTAGTCTTACAGGTATAATTTCGTTATTTTATTGCGAGTAATATGTACTGTCTAATGTAAATATAACAACATACTCCACAGCAACTTGTATACAATGTATTTTCTCCATTTTTTAGACAGTTCATATAGTTCATTATGCAAATAGCCATGTAGGAAAGAAGACAAGCTGACTTACTTAAGGACCCAAGGTTGTATGTTGCCTCTCTGCTTTATAACTTGTTTATATCTTATACAAAAGCAGCAATTTCACACAAAAATACTTACTATATGTAAATAAGTTCACTGTGCTATGGATAGTCTTAAATTTTTGACTAGGCAACACTGACATTTCCAAACATAAAACACTTTAGAACACAAAACTTTCATTAACAGGCAATAAAGTCTACATGTTATCTTTTGTAGATAGAAATGATACACTAATACATTATTATTAACCTATGTGTGGCTTCATTTATGTTTTCAGTGGTAGTGATTATTTTGCATTAAACTCTGACCAAGTTCTCCCTGAGAGCAACAGAATCTTCTGAAATACAGCTGGTTGGGTTAGGGATGCAATTTGTGGTAAACCTAGACAACCCTTATAAGGTCTCATTAACTGATGTTCTAAGGAAATGATTCACTGACCACAGACAAAACAGAGGCAACAATCTTCCCTGGTTGTTGTCCCATAGCTTATTAACATATGATATGCAGCCCTCGAGCCCTCAACAGATACATTACCCAGTTGGACATTTCCTTTGGCCAACAAATTAGCTATAGGATTCACATAATTTGAACTATCAGCAGTTCTAGACACCAGATGAATCACAGCAGGAACAGTAAAATCTGTTACACGATGAACAAACTTAAAACTCTAATGAAGTATGTTCATCCAGAAGGAAGGAAACACACACATAAAAACACTGTCATCATCAGTTAATTTCACCACATTCTTCAGGATGTATTAAAATAGTATTATTCTAGGGTGTTGTAAATGACTATGAAGAATAGTCATTTACAACACCCTAGAATAATACTATGGATAATAGTCATTTACAACACCCTCAAAGCTACAGTAAGTGAAGACAGAGACTAAATGAGAGAGAATAATTAGCCCACAGAGCTCACAAAAATGATTACCTGATAGTCTGGTTTTGTAAAATAATCCAAAGAGGAGATGTGGTCCAGGAAGATGCTGAATTCTGGAGGGAGATGTTTCAACATAAGCCTATGGTCATATCTCTCCTTAATAGAGCCTACTTGCTCCTAGGAAGTAAAGAGAAAAGGAACTAAAGTCAATTTCTCTTGGCAGTTACATATTAAGAGCCTCTCTAAATAATCTCAAGGGTATGTACCAGGGAATGAGATAGTGAGTAATTAAGTAAAGGCAAGAACTGAGTTTTACCAATAGCTTAATGTACACTGGTTTTAAAGGGGGATGGGATAAGGACTATAATGCAGAACCAAAGGGTAACCTAGAGTTTGGCATCAGTGAACTGAAAGCTCCACAAAAAAAAAAGTTGATCTAAATCTGGTCTATATTTCTTTATCAACACAGGTGTTTACAGTTTTCAAATCAAATGATATAATGTGACAATTAAAAATTAAAAGCTTAACTGACTTATAAAAGAGAAAAAGAGAGAACTAGTGAAAAGAAAAGCTAAGAAGGAGGGCTAGAAATCAAATCGGAAGCAATAATTGTACTTAAATTAGTATCTATTCTCCATGTACACAGAAAAAGTCATAACATTAATTAGATCGCTAATAACATCTCATAGAGAGAAAAATATACATATTTGGATATAGTGAAAGTCACTGCAAATTTTAATTCTCACATGTAAGCATATTCTCAACAAAAATGCCTATCCAGGAGAAATTTTTATTCTTTTCCCTATCAAAATTGATATATCTACTTCCAAAATTACCTTGTCCTTTATTTTTCTCCAAGGCAGCTGACCAACCACAAATTCCACCAACATGTAGAATAAGGACCAAAGGTCATCATGTCTTCCCATTTCCTTCATAAGCAAAACAGAATTCCATCGCATTATATTACAGGTCCTTGTGAGTACATTGTGTTGTCTGAGGCCTAACCCCTGTGTTTCATCTAATTAGGCCTAAAAATTTAAATATATTTCCCATGACTTATCTGGTAAATATCTCTATATATCTACATAGCTATACAGCAATCAGGATGGCAGAACAGATATGCTGAAAAACTTTTTAATATAAAGAATACCCCCAAACCCAGAAATGCTGGATATAATATAATGAACAACCCACTGATTAATAAATGAGTTCATTAAGAAGTAAGAGAAGGTGGATGCTAAGGGCTAGAGGAAAGGGAGAAGGGAAATTAGTGTGTACTGATTACAGAGTTTCAGTGTTGCAAAATGAAAAAGTTCTAGAAAACTGTTGTAAAATAATGTGAATATATGTAACACTACTGAATTGTACACTTAAAAATGGTTAAGATGATAAATTTAATGTTATGTGTTTTTTACCACAATTGTAAAAAAAGAAGTAAAAGGAATCATAAGAGCCAACACTAAAAGAAAGCTGAAATAAGAGAAGCAAGCTGACACTGAAGCTGTAGGTTGGGCTATTTGTGGGGTATCTGTCATAGCTTTTATCAATGAGTTTTATCAATTAGGAAGGGGACAGGTGTAAAAGCACAGCCTACGTAAGATAGAAGTTGTAACTGACATTCCCCTATCTCACTTGCCCCACTGCCCACCATAGAGCTAGGATTCTCAAAAGGCTATCTTTGGTATAGGATTTGGTATGTACATTATATTGCAATATTTTTTTTTTCTGTAGAATTTAACCCTGTCAAAGGGATAAAGTGAGTGGTTAAAAGAGAATTTGCCCTCACAATTTGTTATCAGAGGCCTGTCCCTCTCTCAGATTTGGAGTTTAAACTTATACTGCTTTTGTGGTCTGAGAAATTAAGTCCAGAAATGAAGTGATTTCTGGGTGATCCTGTCCTGTGGCAATGACACATGCAAACAAAATCTTCTTAAGATAAAAGCACCCTTAAATTTAGGATTTCTACGACATCCACCAAGTATAAGCTCGTTATGTGAAATTACAAAATACATTAGAAAGCAGGTTATCATAAGTTAATGACAAGAGAAACTATAAAGAACAGAATTAGATATTCAGGAATTTCAGAAATAGAATTATAGGTTATAGAACATGAAATAAGAATGTTTAAAATGTTTAAACAAAAAATAAAATTAAAGTCATGAGAAAGGAAGCATATTCTATACAAAAAATAAAAAGCCAATTAGATTTGGAAAATGACCAAAGATAACATCTAGAAATAAAAAGTACATTAGAGAAATTAAAAAAATCAGTGGACACATTAAAAAGCTGATCAAACACAGCAGAAAAAAATTAATGAAGATAGATCTGAAGAAATTATGATGCAACACAGAGACAGTTAAAAAATCTGAGTGTGAACTTAAGAGGCACGGAGGACAGAACAAGAAGGTCTAAAATACATCAACTTGGAGATATGAAAAGAGAAGTATAGAGAGAAAAGGAAAGAGGCAATATTTAAAGAAGTAATGTCTGAGAAATTCCAGAATCAATACAAGACATGAATGTTCAGATTTAGGAAGCACAACTCCCAAACCAAATAAATATAAAGAAATCTACAGCTATGAACATGTGAATATATCTGCAGGACACCAAAGACAAAAAGAAGATATCAAAAGTAGTCGAAGAAAAAAGAAAAATTAAATACAAGGTAACAACAATTAAATGAACAATGATCTCAATAGCAACCATAGAACCAGAAGAAAGTAATTTTTTTCAAAATATTGAGATAAAGCAAGTATTAAACAAAGGATTAAAATGTAGGACAACAATGAGATGACGTGAACAGAGTTCCAGTGTTCTAAAAGTCCCTGCACTGTTTGGAAATTATTCATATTAAAAGTTTAAGATCAAGGTCCACCCCTCCTCCCCGCCCCCCCAAAAAACCAGAAAGGGAATGTATTATGTTTAGAAATTACCAAAACAGGGGTGCAGAATATGGAAGAAAAAAAATATATATATTAGAATTATCTGGGAAATCTTTTTAAATTAGACAAGCACCTGTGAAATTTCCACTAGTTGCACTCCTGCATCACCACATAAACTGACAATTGTTGTTGTCACTGTGTGACACACTGTGTGACTGTGTAAAGCATCCTACTCCTCAGGTGTGTTGGGAGCAGAAAAGAAGGGTAAGAACCACTGCTATACAGTATCAAATCCTTCTACCAAGGTCAGATGAGTAACAATAAATAAGCAGGTAACAGAGTAACTTTTATAGCACTCTATGCTAAAGAGGATTTTAAAAGAAATCTCTACTCTTCAAATTAAAAAAAATAAAAAAATATATAATCTCTTTCTAGTAGCTATTTTGGAGCTATAACTATATTAGCTCATATAGTTATTATGATCTCTGAAAATGTTTATTCCTACCTCAGAAAGAATGTCCTATTTCAAAAAGTTGATAAAATTCTGTAATAGAATTAATTAGAAAGCCTAGTACTTCTAAAATTTTGTAAAATTTTATCTTGAAAATAAGAGTACTTTCTTTTTTAAGGCAGAATAACTGACTAGATGCCATAAAATAAAGCAACACTGAATCAAACTAAATGAGTTAAAATGTTTGGCAGAGAGCTGTATACTGATAAAAATACTTTTCCTATTTTCAATCCATAATCACATCATAAGAAACCAAAAGAAATGGAGCATAGCACATGAGACCTCAGCATACTCTTCCTATTATATTTAGCATTGGTCAAATTTTCATTCAAGCAATTTTGGCTTCAAATAACAAAAACGAGGTACCAAAGATCAAGAAAAGATGTATGTTTTATCAAGGAATCACTTGTTAAATTTCTCAATTCCATCCAAACAAGTTCAAGGATTGAGAATCCATAAAATATCCACCTTTCCTACTCATAATTAAAGTTCAGGATGAGAAAAAAATCAGAGAACAACAGGACAGAGAGAGAGAAAGAGAGAGAGAGAGAGAGAGAACTAGTGAGGGAGGCAGGCAGGCAGGCAGGCAGGCAGAGACAGAGAGACAGAGACAGAGAAATTTTAAAAATTTAATCCAAGAGGAAAAGAATAATTTACTAAGATAACAAATTTTAAGTTGTCTGCACTTGAGATCTTTGTGAAAACAAAAGGTTTGATGGAGAGAGGCTATCACAGATTAAATGTATATTACATAAAATGATGACCCCTATATTTCTTTAGGTATTGACAGTATGATATTCCCAAATAACTTCTTAAAATAGAACACAAATGTTATGTTTTTTCAAAATTCTATATTAGCTTTGTTAATACTTACTTATACCTAGGACACAAGATTCCCCATGACATATACTTAGTTATTATCTTTTCTGGCAAATCCAATTTTACTTTCTATGCAGTTGCACGCATTTGTTATCCAACATACAGCTTACCATGCATTGGTATTACTAACACCTTTCTCTCTGCTCCAAAAAACTTTCTACATCTTTGTACTCTAATGTAAGGAAGTCAATCTGATTCAAGCCATCAGCTTGCTTACACAGATACAACTCTAGTTCAGATACCTACCCTGTTCCGATGAGCATTGATTGATGCATAACGAACTGTCCCTCGAAAGCCTGCCACAGCTCGAGGCTACAACAAAACCAAGCAAAGATTAAATGAGCTTTAGATTCGGTACACTTGAGCACATGAAGTAGATATGAGAAAAATATGCATTACTGTCATAATAAAACACAATTTAAATTTCTAACTTTTTCTTTTGAAATTATAAAAAATTAGAGATCAGGTTAAAAAAACAGCAATAACATTATGGTTATCAATGAGTCTCATTTTTTTTCTACCTACACGTTTAAATAAAGTAGTATTTATTATAAGTAAATTCCGTACATTTGAAAACATTAAATTCTTTCAATATACCCAGAATCATACCAAGAATCATAGTCTATATATTAATATTCAGGCTCTGGTTACAAATAAGTATACTGAGACCATGAGGAATCTCTAAGTAATCTAAGATGCCAACTTCTTCATGTCTTGGCAATTTCATTCAAATTCAATTCAAATACAGTGGCAACTTATGTCCCTCCCTATAAATGCAATTCATATATTCATAAATTCAAGTTAATGTGGCAGGTACTGGGAATAAATCCATATATGAATAATGCATGATCCCAGTTCTCAGAGAGCTCTACTTAGAATAAAGTCCAAACTCTTATTTGGCCTACAAAATATTCCATGACCTGGCATTGGCCTCATTCCAAAACGGATTTATTTGTGGTTTCTCTTACAATCAATTTTATTTCTAGCTCAAGACTTTGCACTTGCTAGTCTCTTCAGTTAGAATGCTATCTCTCTGTATGCCTTCAATGGTTAGCTCTTCTACGTCATATTTAAACCCTCTGCTCAAATGTCACTCACTTCCTCAAAGAAATATTCCTTAATCATCCTAATCTAAAACTACCCACCCTGCAATGTCACTTTATTTTTCTACTCTGCTTTATTTTTTTCTCATAACACTTTTCATCACCTAAAATTACTTTTATTTATATTTTTACTTATTTATTGCCTATCTTCTACCATAGGAATATAAACTCTATAATGGCAGGGTCTTTGTCTTGTTCATTTTACAGACATAGATACAGGTTCTGAGAGCTAAGTAAATTTGTCTCAGGACACAGAATTAATGTGATAAAACCAGACATCAACAAAGGTCTTTTGACTTGAAGTCATACAGTTTTCCATTCTACTGCTTCATAAAGATCAAGTCAGTACACTAAAGATTCATGGATGACACTATAACAGCTTGATATGAAAACTGACAAATTTGAAAATGATAAGACTCAATAATTTTTATTATTTTTCTATTAATTTCAAATTATCCTCAATTAAAATGTATTATTTTTGTAGTCAGAAAAAGACTATAATAAATTTTATTTTAAAAATCTTTGGTTATCAGAATCATTTTGGTCATATTGCTATAGCATAAGATAAAAACATTCTATGTATTCCTCTGTTTGCTCATTTTTGCAATGTTTAATCTACTCAAATTAGTTGTCTATTTCTTCTTTCATGAAATTCTCCCTTTCCTTTTAATTATTCCTTTTTGTTTTTAAGATTTAACTATTTAAAAAATACTTCGCATTTAAGGACAAGTCTCAGTAATCAAAATATTCTGCAATCTACTTAAATCTCTTTTATTTTCTTAGCTGCCGTTCATTAAAAATCATAGTCAGTAGATCTCAATATTTCCCTAAAATATCATGATTAAGAAAAATATCTAATATTCTCAATTTGGTTGATGAAATTATGAGGTTGGAGGCTTCTTTTTCTAGAAGAAAAATGTGTAAGAGAATATATATGAAAGCCTTTCTCTTTACTAAATAACATTTCAGAAGTTGTACTTTTATTCATTACCTAAAAAGAGCCTTCACTAACACAAAAATTTTTTTTGTAGCACATAATTTTGCCCAGTTATTTTCATTCAATAACTGTCAGGATGAAATATCCAGACCTATTATCATATTCTGTAGCTGAGCCCGAGGTTAAATGGGCACCTAGACTACTCCCGATGGATTCTAGCCAAGATAAGTCCAGAAGACTCTTTCCAGTTAAGAAAGCCCCTGTCCTGGCTCTGATCTTATTTCTGCCATGGGAAGGTTGAAATATAGGTAAAGAGACATCAACTGTTTAAAGAGATCTTGATGTGACTCATCAAAGAAATAATATGTCAAGAAAATTCAGCCACTTTATACAATGCAGAAAAGACAACTTAACACAATTGGGCAAAATAACTATATACACAAATAATTCTAGTTAAAGGTTCTGAACATTATCAGCAAAGTACAACGAGCTATTAAAGCCTAGGAGTGGTAAGGATTAGGTTTCATTTGGTGGAAAAGAAGAAGGAAAAGTCCTAAGAAGAAGGCAACATTTAACTGGGCCTTGACAAAGGTCATCTCTTGAAACTTCCCTGATTGATAGCACTTTGGCAATATCTATCAAAATTACAAACACACATATTTTCTCTGACTCAGCAATCTCACTACTAGAAATTTATCCTATATACTTGCATGTGTGCAAAAATAATGGATATACAAATTCATTCACTACATTAGTTTTGATAGCAAAAGACTGGAAGAAAAACAAATGTTCATCAACAGGGGGCTGATTAAATAAATTCCAGTACATCCATATAATGGAATACACTTTGCAACTGCAAAAAAAGAATGAAGAAGCTCTGTATTCTGATATGGAAAGATACACCCTAGATACACTGTTAAATGAAAAGTGCAGAATGTACATCATACTACCTTTTGAATCAAAAACAGAAAAATGAGAACATACATCCATATTTGTTTTATATGTACAAAGAAATTCTGGAAGAATACATTAAGGAACTAATAATAATATAGCTACCTAAAGGAAGAAGGAGGGATAAGGGCATATAGGAAATGAGTGGATTTGGAATAGCAAGAGTGAAATGGAGGTTTGTTTCATGCTTTATTTTTTAACTTTTTTCAAGTCAGGTTTATTGAGATATAATTTACATACAGTAAAATTCATACTTTAGGTGTACACCGTGCTATGAGTTTTGACAAAGATATATAGTCATGTAGCTACCACTGCCATCAAGGTATAGAATATCTCTCTCACCTCAAGAGTCCCTTAACACCCTTCGTAGTCAATATCCCTTCCCCTCTACTCCCAGTCTCTGGCAACCTCTGATTTCTGCCCACCACTATTCTTAGAATTATCTGGGATTTTTAAGGGTTTAACCATTCTAAATATTGTGTAGTGGTATCTCATTGTGGTTTTAATTTGCATATCCCTGATAACTAAAGGTGCTCGGCATTTGTTAATATACTTATTTGCTACCTGTAGTATCTCTTCTTTGATGAAATTTCTATTCAAATCATTTCCTCTTTTCTACTGTTTTTGTTTTTTATTGAGTTGAGTTGTTTATAGATTCTGGATATAAGTCCTTGGTCAGATATGTGTTTTGTGAATATTTTCCCCAGTATGTAAGCTGATTATTCATTTGCTTAATAGTGTCTTTCAAAATGCAGAAGTGTTAAATTTTGATGAAATTTTGATTTTTAGTTTTGTAATATATATAGTATTATATTTCCAAAATTGTATTTAAAAAACATCTTTAAAGAAAAAAAAAAGTAAAAAGTGAAAGTAGTTAACAACCTAAGAGCATGTTTTATTAAAATAAATACATAGACAGTTGAATGAAAATGAAAGAAAAAGTATATTGGGACTAGAGGAACTGACAGAATTACAACAGGAAGAAGAAAATGCATTTTAAGTAAAAACGAAACAATAAACAATGCCAAAAGGAAGAAAAGTACAGTTAGTGTTAAGGAAAAGATTTTGGTATGACAAAAGCAAATGGTAAGAGAAAATGGAAAAGTTGGTTGTAATGAGATTAAAGATGGTCTTGGATGTCATATTCAGTTGTTTGGTTTATAATGTGCAGTCAAATTGAATTGATAAAAAATTTTTAAGTGATACAACTGAGAAAGTGCTTGAGATTTTTACTCTGCTAAAAGTATTCAAGATTCCAGAGAAGGCAGGGAGATTGGTGAGGAAACTATTTTAATAATTCAAGCAAGAAAGCACAATATCTGTACAAGGACAGAAGCAGTATGAATGTGAAGAAGGGGTTGGATGTTAGAGACAGAATAAACTCACAGAAGAATAAATCTAGAAAGAGAAGACAAGGACTCTAGGCATGAGCCCAGACCTACTGCCAACCAAAGGGAGAGAATCAGCGGGGAGAAAAAGCATGAAGAATTATGTAATAAAACCCCCCGAAAGAAATAAGAAAATAAAAAATTCTGTACATGTAACAGAGAAAAAGACTTCTAAAAATTTTCTTAATTAGGCCACTATATCTCCAGGCCCTGGAATTTTCAGCTGAATGGTTAGGAAGGAGAAAACATGGCATTCCAAGAGCTTAGACACAAGGGGCCAATGTGAGATGCCAGCTGAAGGGGTAAGAAAACTGGGGCATGCTTTAAACCAAGAGAAAAAAAAAAAATAAGCATGCAGATTGAAATCATTAAGAAAATAGAAATTCAACTCTAAAACTGTATAGAGCTAAGTATTATAAACATATACAGTTCAGGACTTCTTTGTACCTCATATCCCTATTTAATGTAACTAATATATCTTAAAGGTGATAAATAGTACAGGCTCTCAAAACCAACCACATAAACAACTCACTAGTGTCAAAGATACTATTCACCATTCTCTTTGTAATGCATGCTGACTGATGATCCTATACCATAGTTTGGTAAATAAACACACATTTATGTTTTGAGGGAATTTCTTTGTGATGATGGAAGAGTTTTGTATACTGACTGTGGTGCTGATTATAATGAATCTATACATGTGACAAAATTTCAAATACCACTTCCCCATACCCTCCCAAAAAGTACATGTAAAAAATAGTGACATCTGACTCAGGTCTGTACTTGAGTTAATAACAGTATATCAATAGCAATTTCCCAGTTTTGACAATGTACTATGATTATGTAAGGTATTATCATCAGGGGAAGTTAGGTAAAGGGCACATGGTAACCATACTATTTTATAATAGCTCCTTGAATCTGCTCCACACCCCA